CGCCTTCAGGCTGAGGGGTAAAAAAGGCCCTAAAGTGCACGATGGCCTGTTTTGGTTTTCCAGAAGTACAATCACTGATTTGTACTTCATATTACATTTGGAGTACCAGCTGAGCACAGCCTCCATTTGCTGGGGGTATTAAAACATAAACGTTGGCACATGCCTTCCTTATGAAGTGCTTGCTGTTTACCTCTGCTTCCATAGCCTCCTTCAGTTTGTCTGTGTGCTGCATGATAGCCTGCAGGGCTGCTTCTTGCGCTCCTATGGCCTGCAGAGTAGCTTTGGCTGAGCTCGCCAGTGAGTCCTCAAGACTGGCTGATACGGCTGTAAAGCAATCACACAGGAAGACAGAGACGATACATTTACTGTCTATAAAATTACACACGTCATTATTCACGTGGTCAGCATGCAACGACGTCACTCTTTGTGCGTTTGTGTGTTGTTGTCATCCTACATGCTGAAATATCCTGTTCCTCCTGTTCTTGTTGAGCAAGTCGAGCAGCCACTTCTTCTACTGGACGCTCTTTCATTGGTTCTGTGGGTGCAGGATGGACCGCTGTCGCCTCCTTGTGTTCATGGCACTCGTTGCACTCTTCGAGAGAAAACACACAAACACACAAACACAGACCTAAACAACCCCAGTAATCCTCGAGACTGCTGGACTTTCAGCCATGAAAGAACATGAAGTGTTATTGTTGTATGTTCACACCACAAATGAAGTTTTTGCAAAATCTTTGCAAATGTAGACGCCTCAGTGACGTTAAAAACATTTCAACTTTGGTGCAGATTTGCTTCATATTCTGTCTCCGGCATTAAATGAAAAATACCATAACTACTTACTCAACTTGGGCTATTGCACAAGTTAACTAGTCTGCATCCATGTTTCACACAACTGGAGAACTCATGGAGACCAGCAGGTCAAACCTTCTTGCTGTGAGGTGAAAATGCTAATCACTACCATCATCCTGACCAACATAATAATCATATGTGCTGCATTTTGCAATGACTATTATTTTGTTTGTTTCAACATTATGAATTTAATCGTGAACGTCTACAGATGCACAACAGAAAGCATCCTCTATTGTGGAAGCATGTATAATGTAAACAGAATTGGTCCTAGCACTGAACCCTGTGGAACTCCATAATTAACCTCAGTGTGTGAAGA